TAGTAGTTCAGGTCCATATATATAATCTAAGCTATCTATAAAATTAATATTTTACGAATTAATTTTCTTCTACCAAATATTAAAAATATTTTTTTTTATTTTTTTTGACTACCTTATCATATATATCTATATATAAGTAGTGTTTTTTCTTTTCTTAGGTGGCATATTCCAAGGGTTTACTTTTTTCTTAAAATGCCACATCAGCATGTATTTTCTATTTACATTCTACACAAACCCAAACTCAATTTAAATTCAGCAATGATACATCCCACTAAAAGTGGTGCTCTAAAGCACCACTAATGAGTTGGCACCCACTTTTAACCAAAAAAAAGAAAAAAAACAAGGCACAAAAATATTGTGGCAGTGGATGGGACCCACTGCCACATTATTAGTGGTAGTACTAATTAGTGCTCCCACTCATTTTCCATTTAAATTATACTAACTATACCTATTTTATAGGGACTCTATTTTACAAATACTTCTTTTTCTTATATTTTCCATCGTAAATTCATATAATCCACAAACCCAATACTAATTTTATATGAACTCTATTTGATAAATACTTCTTTTACAAACCCAATTTGAGTTTTATAGAAATCCAACTACAAATACTTTGATTGTACAAAATCTTTTCTATACTATTTTATATAATCACAACTCACAAGAGAAAAACCTGCACAACAATGATACTTTTGACTCTCGAAGAATCTCTGAAATTTGGATTTACTCGTTGAATTACTTTTTCAATTGTTGAATAATAAGTTCATCTATATTTTGACGTCATATTATAGATGATTAATCGTTATTAAATTTATTTTATATAGTTATTATTTTAATTTAATTAAGAGTGTTTATTTTACAATCTTATAATTTAATATATATATATATATATATATCATATAAAATCATTATATGATAATCCAACTACAACATATTCATGCTTAATTTTTTCAATAAATTTTATAAAGTTTCTATTTGTACATGTTTTTATTTTCCAAATGAATATAAAAAAAAATTAAATAGTTTGAATTACTTTTAATGTTATGTTACTAATTCTTCTTCTAATTTAACTATTATTTTTAATATCAAAATGAATATTTATTTTCCTATCTTATAATTTAATATATATCATACAAAATTATTATATGATAATTATGCTTTATAATACGATAGAATTAAAATTATCAAAATACACAAATAATTTAACTAAAATTAATATATATAAGTATTTAAATAACACTTTTATAGAACGATAGTGTTAATATTATCAAAAATGAATAATTAAAATCATTGTTTAATTTTTATTTTAAATAAAAATTATTCATTTATAACACACACATCGTACCATCAAATTTTTTTTAAAAAAAAAATAATACATGTATTTCACGTGTCAACTGCTAGTTAATATCTTAATATTAATGTATATTGAGTTTTCTATTTAACTTGAAATTCTTTATTATAAAAAATTTATATTTAATTTAAATTTTATATACTTGTATACAATATGTATAAATAATTCAAAAAGAATATTAAAGAAAAAATCAATAATCTACATAATTAATTTATGTATTTTCTTCTTAATCCAATCACAACATATTTATATTTAATGTTTTAAATAAATTTTGTGTAGTTCTATTTCTACATATTTTTATTTTCCAAACAAATATAAAAATAAAATTAAATAATTAGAATCATTTTAGTTTTATATTATTAATTCTCTTTATAATTTAACTATTACTTTTAATATCAAAATGAGTGTTTATTTTACTATCTTATAATTTAATATATATCATATAAAATTATTATATGATAATTACACTTTTATAACACAATAGAACTAAAATTATAAAAATAAACAAATAATTTAATTACATTTATTATATATAAGTATTGCAGTAACACTTTTAGAGAACAATAAGGCTAAGATTATTAAAATAAATAATTAAAATTAAAATTAATTTTTTTTAACACATATCATAATATAATATATCATGAGTTATAATTAAGTTATAATTTGTGTAATATAGAATTTTTTGTTATTTTATTTTTTTTAGAAAAAAATATTTTGATACAAGTGGAATTCATAATTTTTGGTAAATTTAATTAGAGTCTGGCTTTGGTCTAGTCCACCATTGGACTAGACCGTGCTGTTGGGCCCGTAGGGGCCCACCATGGGTCTCGTTTTGAAAATCTGAACCGTTTAATGTGTAGAACTCTTCGAATACTATATGTTTATAAAAAATTATGTTGATTGGATATCAATAGCTATGTGATCAAATCAGTTTGTATAAAAAAAATGGACGGTGAATAAATTAACGATTGACAAAAAACTGATTTGATCACATATCTATCAATATCCGATCAACGTGATTTTTTACAGGCATATAGTAATCGAAGAGTTCTACACATTGAACGGTTCAGATTTTCAAAACGGGACCCGTGTTGGGCCCCCACGGGCCCAACAACACGGTCCAGTCCGATGGTGGATTGGACCAAAGCCAGATCCATTTAATTAATACAAATGAAGATTTGATTTTAGGTTAAGAATACACTTTTTTTTTTTTTTTTTTTAATAACTTTGAAATATATTTTTTTTTTTTTTATGAGCCTTATCCCACACAGTGACAAAAATTTTCACCAACCATTAGGAAATCACTTTGCTTGGTTCCCATTTTTTAAAAACAATTTTCAGAAAATTCTACACTTTTATTTTTTGTGTTTTTTTACTTTTACTGAATTTTTTTAATATTTTATGCAAATTTTTTACTTTTTAGACATACCTAACATAAATACACCTAAAAAGTAAAAAAATTGTAAAAAAAATCTTTTAAAAATTCACTAAATACCAAAAATATAAAAAAAATACAAGAATTTATTATATTTTTTGTATTTTTATGTATTTCTTAATTTTTTAAAATATTTGTTTACATTTTTTTTACTTCTTAAACACATCTAAATAAGGTGCATCTAAAAAAGTAAAAAAATGTTTAAAATTTTAAAAATATTCACTAAAAACAAAAAAATACGAAAATCAAAAAACTCAGTTTTCAAAAAATTTAATCCAGAAAACTCAAACCAAACACAGTGATTTGTATTTGGCTTTCAATTCTTAAATTTTTCTATACATAAAGCATAATGACTCAAAATCAAATTTTTATTTTAAAAATAAACTTATGTGTATCGCACATGTCAGCTACTAATTTATCACATTAAATATAAAAGGAGCAGCTACAAAAAAATAAAATAAAATCTAGGCCTTGTTTTTTTAGATTTTAGTTATATTTTGAGTTTTGATATTTGTAACAAAATAAATCCTGAATTTTTAATTTTGTTAATTTAAATCCTAATATTTTGATTTATTTTCAATATAAATTATTTACTTACATTTGTCAAGTAAAATCAATGGAAAAATAAGTATTTTAGCCATTAAAATTAATATAAATATAAATAAAATATTTAAAATATAATTTTTCATTGAATTTAACGGTTAAAATAATTATTTTTTCATCTATTTTACTTAACGAAAATAAATAAATAACTTAAATTGAAAAAAAATCAAAAAATTTAAATTTAAATTAAAAAAATAAAAATAAAATATATATTTTGTTATAAAAATTAAACACTAAATTAATTTTTTTAAAAATAATTTTCCCTAAATAAAATGAACAACTCAAAGAAGAAATGAAATACACAAAATAATAATAAGGCCTCGTTTGGCAAGAGGCTATTTTAGCCAATTAGCCAAAAAGTTACTAAATTAGCCAAAAAGCCAACAACCCATATCAAAAAGTCAAAGATTCTCTTTTCTCTCTACTTTTTGCACATCTTTTCGTAATTAGCCAAAAAGTCATCCCAAACATACAGGCCTTGTTTGGTTTGTGTTTCTCAAAAAATTTTGAGAAAAATTCTCTACAAATAAGTTTTCAAAAATAATCAAACCAAACAAATTTTTCCAAATTTTTTTTCTAAAACTTGTTTGGTTTACAAATTTTTCAAACAAATCTCTCTCTCATACACATCAAATCAATCACTTTTTCCAAAATCTCTCTCAAAATAATTTTTTAAAACATCTTTTGAAAAAAAATCAAACCAAACAAATTTTCGTACTTTTTATCTCAAAATATGTTTCTCAAATACAAACCAAACAAGGCCACAAGTTTTTTTTACCTACTTTTTTAGCCAAATAACTAAAAAATTACTAAATTAGCCTGTCCCCAACAAGACCTAAGTAAAAAAAAAAAAAGTGAAATTAATCTTAGAAAATTGTGTGGGTAGGATATTGCTTGGGACTCTCTATTTATATCACAAATCTTCTGAACGAGCCAAAAGAACAGCAGCCAAACAACAATCGCACGCAAAGCACCAAACAGTCTCTCTTACTTCCACATTCTCCTCTCTCTGTATTCCTTTTTGACCCATTTGAATCCAATCCAATGATTTGCAATTAGAACCAACTTGTTCTTCTTCAACGGTGTGATTATTAATAATTTCATTTGAATGGTGGAACTTATAATGGGATGGGAGCTCAGAAAAGTATCCATGCTGGCAAAGGTCTGTTCCCCACAAGTTTTAAACTAAAACCCACAATTTTTTAGGCACTATATTGATATACTGTAGTAGTATTAGCAACAGTATGATTGATTGATTGTTTGTTATGATGGTTGGTTTTGCACAGCCAAGATAGACCTCAATGTTGATTTTACCCACAAACTCTGTGCTGCTTTGATGCTCTCTCCTTTCAGGTTTCTCTTTTATTTCTCCCTTTTCATTCATATATATTCACTTTGTTTTGTCTCTCTTTCTTCAATTCTGTGTCTTTTGAATCAGGAATTCTGGCAGTCCACTTTCACTGGTTATTGGGAGGTAGGGTTTATCTCATTTTTCTCTTTGTTTTCCATTTCAAGATTGAAACTTTTAATTTCATTTTTTTTGGGGTTTGTTTTGTTGTTGGGTTCTGGTGTAATGATTGTTTGAATGTTTTGTTTATGTTTTTTGGTTGCAGTCTTTGCATCAAACACCCCAATTTATTTGGTAGGAGTGAGAAGCTTGATGTATTGTGGGATAAGGGACTCTATGATTCCAATGTCTTGATAGCTTATAGGAAGCCGAGACCCGAATGGCTTCCTCAGAAGTCTTTTGTCATTCAGGTTTCTTTCTTCTATTCTAAAGTTATTGCTAATTGCAAATGAGAACCAATTGAGGCTGACACGTGGTGAATTGCAATAGAAATAGGTTTGATGGGACCGTTTAGAGTCAATTCAACCTCATCTTTGGAAACCCAACAGGGAATTTGAATCAAAATCTTGTTTGAGAATCAATTTAAATTGTGTAGGACTTCTCTTGTCTGTACAATGACCACCTACATTATCTGGATTTTGCTTGAAATGGGCTTAATAGGAACTTTTAGATGTAGATATGGTAAATCCAACTAAGGATGAATAGAAGTTTGATATTTTTGGGTGGAAGTTTTTGCAATTTATTGTTTTAATATATTGCTTGAACAGTAGAAGCCTACATTATGTAAATCCATTACTATGTTACATGGACTCGGGTACGAGTGTCGGGTGCGGGTGTGTATCCAAGCGTCAGACCTTCATAAATTTAAATCTTAGGATCTTGGGGTATGTATCCAAAATTGGATATGGATACGGGGACACGTCATATGTACATATATATTGTATATTATATAATATTCTCGGATGAGATGATTTAAATTATGTAGAAATATATTAGAAATTAAATATGATTTAGAAAAAAATATGAAATTTCTATATCTAATTCATGTGGGAGCCTAAAAATATTGCTTTACTAACAAATGCAAGTTTCTTTTTCTTCATGTATTGTCACAAATTAAAGGATCTGAGTGTCTAAATTAGGTACGAGCGTCGGACACATATCCCACACCCTTATCCATGTCATATCCGGTGGACACGGGTATTGTGGGGGAAATAGAAGAGTCCATGTAACACAGATCCATTAGGGCTGGGTTTAGTAATAAGTACTTTCTGAACCAATTCAAGTGAAATTCTGAAAATTGAAGCAAAAACATTTGTTTGAAAAAAGTGTTCAATTTTCACAGATGCGTCCCTTTCTATGAAAATCATATATGCACTTAGATTTACTTAAAGGTGTTTGTGGCACTTTACCCATCTATCTAATTTGAATAACTTTGCTTGCCAGCACTCTATTTCACCCGAGATTGGGGTGCATGGTGTGCCTGTTGACAACTTCTCTCGTTCAGGGAGTGGAAGTGTAAATCTTTGTCGCTTCTCTTTAGGGCTTGATCTGAATGAGCCTGGAAGTTCCCACTGGAGCAACAAAACCAGTATAAAGTTCGAGGTTTGTGTGTTATTACATTTTTCAGAAAGTAATGAGCATCTGTTTACATGTTTTCAGGTCCAGACCTGACTTAGAAATTGGATTAGGAGAGAAATTAATTATTGTCTTCATGCAGCATGTTCGTACAATTAATGATGATGGCCGCTCTATAAGCAGAGACCTTGACGGGTTTCCAGTAACCTGCAGGTAATTGAGGCTTTTAGTGATCCTATCTTCAAATTAACTGACAAACTGATTGAAACTTCTCTGTGAATTACCTGTTGTACAGTGGCAGTTATCAGGACAATATGGTAGTACTGAAGCAGGAGTCTCAATTTGCAAAGGCAAATGATTGTAGTTTCAGTCGAGTAATATATCTTTAATTACCAAACTAAAACTAAATATTGTTATTGCCAATGTGATTCAAAAACTTAAAAGTGCTATATTTCTTACTTCAAATTTGTTTTATATGCAGTTTAGTCTGCAAATCGAACAAGGAATTCCCGTTCTATCCAGGTGGCTGATCTTCAACCGATTCAAATTTACTGCATCAAAGGGAGTTAAACTTGGGCCGGCATTTCTCTTGACAAGGTGAGCATAATAAGAAGAATCATGCAGGAAGTAAGGAAGCATAAAAAACACTCTTTAGAATTCTTTTGATTAAACTTTATAACCGAGGTATAGTAGCTCCTAGCTACTAGCTAGGGACTTGGAAGTTAAGAAGTAAAAGAAAAGAAAGGATTATGCCATGAGAAACACAACTAAAATGGAAGATATTGTTATTTTCAAAATAGGTTTCAATATCAAACTAAACAATTTTCTTTTGCAATAGATAAATTTGCTAAAAAGAGAAAGCACAAGTTAACTGCTGGGGTATGCTTTTGAAGGGTGATTCCTGAACCTTTTCGAACTTCACAAAGCCCGTTATGAAACATAGTGCTTTACTTGCATTTCCAATATGTTTCCTGTAATTAGTAAAATGATCTGAAAAGTGTTTTTTTTTGGGTGCAAAATTTATATCTTTTCCTTTGACAGCTTGACAGGTGGTTCCATTGTAGGGGACATAGCTCCTTATCAAGCATTTTCCATTGGGGGTATTGGTAGTGTTCGTGGGTATGGTGAGGGTGCAGTTGGATCTGGTAGATCTTGTCTGGTTGCTAACAGTGAATTAACATTCCCTTTGGTATGTAGTGGCTTTATCATTGCATGAGATTATGCCAGCTTTTATAATCAGTATCCCTGCTTTTATTTTTTTATTTTAGTTGATATTCTGCCCCAGTTGGTTCTTGACATGTTTTCCCGTTATAAACTGGGCTGCTTGCCCATGGATATTGCTTTAAGCATTGTCTAAAACCTTTGGAATTTACATTTTTCTGAATAATTTTTGTTGCCAGTTCACTTATATAGTTAATTATTTAAATTTGAGTTTCTACATGTTTTGGACTTAATTGTCCCAAAATTGTAACTGGAAGGAAAGAGCAATTATTCATTGCCACATGTGGCATTGATGTGGGACTCTTGTGGACCCACATGAATGGACAATTCAGATCTGTTTGTGGCATTGCCACATGTGGTATGGAATAATTTTTTGGAAGGAAAGGAGTTGGGCTTGTAAAAGCATTTGTGTGTTGTATTTATTTGTTTTCTTCCCTTCTTCTCCTCTCTCGCTCTCTCTTAATAACTATGTTATACTACTCATCTAATACCCAAGTCCAAGGATGCGGGCATTATTTACTTGTATTCTTTTCTATTTTACAGTAAATTGCTGTTTATATGTAACAAAGATTGGTCATAGGTACTTAACTTTTTACTAAAGCAAGAAGTAACTTAGTATAGAAGTTTTATGAGAAGTTAGTAGATTTGAATTACTAGGTGTGCTTATTGGGTTCATGCCTAACTAGAGATGTTGGGTCAATATCCCATACCCTAGCCAGGCAACATGTATCCAACAATGTACTTCACACAATTAGAATAGTCTATGTAGCATGCTTAAATAATGTAGTGATTATTTTCACACAAGTATGCGCGTATTGAGTTGTGTTATTTGTGTCTTGTTAGTAAAATGCTGCCATAATTGATTCCCCAATTTCATTTTTCTACTGCATAAATGTATCTACCATTTTATCTTTCCCATTCGTGGACATTATTATCAGCCTCTTACAGTTATACTGTATCCAGAATCAGATGTTAGAAGGTGCTGTTTTCTTGGACTGTGGAACAGATTTGGGATCTGGTCGTCATGTTCCTGGTTAGTTTTTATCTTCATATGGCTTCGTAACATGTTTTTATCCTTACTTTTTTCTAGCCATTAGATTTTAGAATTACTCAGCTAAGTTTCACATTCTATCATCACAATTACAAATGTATTGGCTTAAGTGTGATATTTTATTTTGAGTATACGAAGAATCTGACGAGACTGAAGTCCAAGGCCCTAAATTCTTTAACAGGCTCTAGTTTACGAGTCTAACTTGAATATCGCTACCAAAATTTAAAAAGCCTCACTTGATATCCATCTGAATGGATCCTTTGTCTTAAGCTGCCATCAAAAGTTACTGGATAATAATCAAAACTGTTTTTTAGGGCTTTGGCCCGCCCTTTTAAATCCCATGTGCCACCTCCCTCACCCTCACATCACACCACAAAAGAAAGAAAAAGAAAATGAGGCTGATTGTTCTTTTTTCATCTCATCAGAAGACACCCATGCCTCAAGTTATTCTCCCATGTCTTTTAAAAATCAAACTTTGTAGAAAGTAATATGATCATAGAAAAGATTGTTCGGATGGTAGCAAGTTTTGGCCCCACAAACAAGTAAGGGCCATAAAATTTGCTTGACCTGAAATTGGTTGGGTAACAGACTCATTCAAGTTTACTTCTATGATAAATGAGCTTAGGTTGATTATAATCTTATGGCTATGAGTGTAGCTTGCTAAGCTAATGAGCGCTCTCAAGACTACATAGAAACCAAGTGAGACCCATGCTCGGGTTGAGAGTGGTTTTATTTGATGGTTGCTTGAGATCATTTGTGAGATAAACAAGCCTTAACTCAAAATTTTATTTTGAAGCTCATGCAATGAAAGCCTTCTTCCATTCATTATCATATTCTTTGATTCTTGACGGTCAATGGAAGAACTTACACTAGGGTCCTTTGTCAACACAGTTTGACAATGCAAATATCCTATTGTTAGAATGTTAGAACCATTGAATGGGCTTAAAATGGTCACTCAACATGAGCAAAATTTAGTTTCGCTAATATTGAAAGAGGAATAAGATGCTGATATGGGCTGTAGGGGGTCGTACATGGGTCATCTTGTGGGTCAAGTTATATTATTGGGTCATTTTATTTGGTTTTACTTGGGTCAAAAATAGTTAGTTGTCAAATAATTAGTTTCCTAATTTTTAAGTCATAGTCCTAGTAAAGCTAGGAGTAAACCTGCAATCAGCTTATAATTATCTATACAATTCTTATATTCTACGAAGTTAAAGTGAGTGTGCGATGCTTTGTGGTGGAGGGTTCCCAAAGAGTGCTCTTTCTTCTTCATTGTTCACAGGTCCTGAAGACTGCTATATTTTCTTCTTCTTCATTGTTCACAGGTCCCAAAGAGTGCTCTTTTTTCTTCATCCTTGCTCACTGGTCCCAAAGAGTGCTATTTTCAGCCCCCAAATCCTATACAATTTTTCTTCTTCACGTTTCTGTGATGCTTTGTGACCTTGCCTTTGAGGGTGATTCCTAGGGAAGCTTTGCTGAAATATTTGATTTTCTTTGTTCACAGGTCCCAGAGAGTGCTCTTTATTCTTCTTCTGTGAGGATGTTTTGTTTTGGTACTAGTATCTATGAGCTTTCTTGCATTTTGTGTTTTATCTGGCTCTTCTCTCAATCCCCAAGATCGTTCACTCAAAGAGTTCAATTCCCATATGGACCTGGTGTTCTTGGGTACTGCTCTGTTTGAGCTTTGGTTAGTGCTGTGAATACTTGGGGCTTTCACGTTAACCCACATCTTTTCCTGTTCTATGGTGTTGGGATGGTTATATTTAGCTATGCTTCATGCATGACACCACCATGGTTCATTGTGGTGGGTCTGAGATGGAGTTTGGTGGAGCTTTTGGATGCTTTGGGTCTAGTTTTTTTTTCTTTGCTGGAGTTTAATATGGAGTGAGCCCTGTGGTGTGTTCCCCTTCCCCAGTGTTTCATGCTACAACTTTTCGGGTGGGTTTTTCGGCATCTGTTTCGGATTTCACATATCTTGTTTGTTTTTGCTTTGTTGTGTTTTGCTCCCAATGAACCCGGATCTTTATTGTTTCATGTTTCTGGGTTATACCCTTGTGCTTAATAGTTATTCTATGTAAGGGATTTCGGTTCTGGTCTGTTGCTTTCCCTAGCCTATACAACTGTAGTGAACAGTTCCACTATGTCTGGTGCGCAGAGGCTGTGTGTCTATCTTTCCTTCCTTTTTGTTTCATATATGTGCCAAACTTTTGGATACATTTCTTCGTATTCTAGAGCCTAGAGTTTAGGGAGGTTCGATGCCTTGACACACACGTGCACTCGATACTCATACTTGAGTCCATGTAACATAGCCTTAGAAATATGTTGCATACTTCATTTCGGTGACATGTATTCACTATTTATTTAGTATGCAGCTTGTTCGAGGTTGATATAAGATCCTAGTTCAAAGCCCCACTTGATTGGGACGCAACTTAGTTTAGTTTGGTTTGGTTTGAGGGCTGTCAAGTTTGGGCTAGAACAAATTACAAGTGGTTCTGAAGTTCATCAGAAGGTTTACGTAAAAGATATGGCATGGGATGATCTCATACTAAGTTTTGAACTTTTGAGTCTTAAGTTTGGTTGATTCATCTGTCTTTGTTGGACAAAGTCTGAATTGACTTTCAGGCTAGAGGTGGAGGATTTTGGAACATTTTTTTTCCAATCCCTGCAAAAGAGCATTCATAGTGTTAACTGTATTCTCACTTTTATTATAGTTTACTCAAGAAAATTTTGGCTTATGAAGTGGTAAGGCCATATGCTTGGATTGTGCATCAATCCAAACACGTCTAGAGTTATGAATGTTTGAGAGTCAGCATCACTGCCTCAGGTACTTGTACTTTTGGCAGGTGCATCTTCGTAGATAGCCAACTTGTGGATGATTGTGAACATTGTTGTTAAATCGTGAATCATTCTACTAAAAATAATGAATCGTGAATTGCATCGAATCATGAATCTTTATTTACATATAAAAAATCACAAATTGTCGAGCAAGTTCCACTGGGCTCCTAAAATGAATTAAATATCAATATAACTAATTTGTATATATGTAAATACACATAAAATTATGTATATCAATATAATTAATTGAAATTATTATTGTTATTTATTTATTTATTTTGTGAAAATGATGCCGTTTTATTTATTATGCAAATAGAACTGAATTGTAGTTAATCGTAGTGAGTCATACTAAATCGCAATTGAATCATATGAATCACTCAATTCAAGATTCAACAGTAAGAATCAAATCATTTTGGGTGAAAATCATATCGAATTGTGAATTGCAAGATTCTTACGGCTCTTTTTATCTCTTCAAAGTCTTTTATATTGTTGTTGTGGAAGCTTGTGATACAAATTTGTAAACAAAGTAGGTGGTGGTAGGTGATGGTAAATGGGTGGTAGGTGATGGTAAATTCTAACACTCTCTCTATCCTAAGGTGTGTGCTAACTTGATCGTCGGAGGGTTTTTTCGGCCACACACCGCCGGGTAGCTCACCGTTATTTGCTCGCAGGTGATCGGACAGAAACGGAGCTCAGAAGAAAGGAGTACGGGCTTGCCAGAATATTTGCTCCCCGCACAGATATGATGACCTGGGGTTTACTTTTCATATGAGCATTATTTCTGTAGAAGCACAGAAAGTATTGGTACAGTGAAATTTTACCAATTTAAGTAGGGGTGCTTATGGGAGTGGTCTCCTTGCATGAAATGAAATGAATGTGGGTCAGGACAGTACATGTTTGTTTTAGGTGGGAATCAAAATGCTTTGGTTCTAGTTTCCTAAATGTTGAGGCATGATATTTTTTCCTTGTAGTATAGGTCTTCAATGGATGTGGAGGTTGTTTTGGTGGCTTAATGATGAAGCAAACAAAATCTCCACCTTTCCCTTCTACTTACTTTACTGTTTTGGGTGATCTAAGAAGCACAAATACATCTAAAAAAGTGTTGTGCCTGTGTTGAATACATGTTGGACACGCATCCAAACATGTTATATTATTATTATTTAATTTTTTTTAGATACAGATAGTTGGACATGCTTTGGACACTTGGGGAACACACTCATCCATCACTATGAAACACCTTACAAGTTTGATGAAAATAACTTGGGATTTAATGATAAAGAAAAACAACAGAGATTTATACATATTAATCCTTCCTCCTTTAGATTTTAAGAAGTGATGTTAAATCTCTAAATGAAATATTCATATATGACATATGATAAATGTATAAAACTATATATTTTTTGGGCTTCGCGTGTCATGTCGTGTCGTGTGTCTATGCTTCTTAGTGGCTAATAATGAGGCTTTTCTTCACGGAACAAAGAGAAAGGACAAGTTCCTGTGCAGCATCCTTGGTGGGTGCATGCTTTACTTTGTTTCTAGTAGAAATTTATGCTGAAAATCTTCTTACATGGATTAGATTTCTGAAAAGAATTTTGAATGTCTTCGCTTGGGCATTACTGCACCTTCTTCAGTGAGAAAGCGACATTCTTTATTTGTTAAAGTCCTCTACGAACTATATTTATCCATTTAAATCTGATTCATAGATTTGATATTTCCATGTAAACTTCCTAGCGTTTGCTGTCTGTTGATTTGTAGATTACAAAATTATGGGTTTCCAACCATGCATGAGATGTATGTTCAAAAAGCAAAAACCAAAACAAGCAATGCATGAGATGTTGAAGGAGAAAATTGTTGATCCTGTGAAGATCTCATAAAATATATTCATATTGCTATTTGGAAGCAAATTCCTATTCATATTATAGTGATTACTTAATGAATAAACAAAATAAATGGATCTGATCTGATTTACAGATCAGGCACCCAAAAAGCGGATTTGGGTTGTTCCTAATTGGATTTAATTATTATTTAATCGGATCAGATCAGATTAGATTCTGATAAATCCGGTTTAAATCTGATTACCTCTCAATAAGCATAATTCCTTTTGTTCTCTCTCTTTCTCTCTTGCATACACTGATGATGGTCTATCTTTTGGAATTTCAGGAAATCCTGCACTGAGACACGGAAAACCAGGAAGTGGAGTCGGGCTTGGATACGGCCTTCGTTTCAAGTCCCAATTCGGTCACTTGCAGGTTGATTATGCTATCAATGCATTTGAACAAAAAACTGTCTACTTCGGCTTCAGCAACCTCGCTTCATGATATACCGGCTGCCCAATTACTGGATTCTTTTTATTTATTATCAGATTCCATGCGGAGTATTTTTTGTTCAAGTTGCAGATATGAAGGCTGTGTTCAGGTTTGAGTTGTTAAATTATTGTTATTATTTTTTTAACCAATTTTTACAGTGAAAATTTGAGAATCTCTTTTAATTTTTATGCGAGACAATTGTTATACCAACTGACAAATATTTTAATGAGAAGAGGACATGCACACTTTTGATGCAAGTTAGGTGTTATGCAAATTAAATATTTTGTTGTGGTACATTACATTATATTCAATTCAACTTTAATTTTGTTGTGGTCCATATTATTAATGTTTCCTTTAATGACATGTTAGGGTATTGCACATCAAAAAGGAGAATGTTGATTTGAAGAACAAAAATTTCAAGTCAATGATAAAATATTAAAAAATATATATTTTTTATCAAGTTGTAATTATTTTTGAAAAGTGCCACTGAGGTGTAATTTTCTCATCAGAAAGCAGCTGCGCCTGACTTATCTATCATAGAAAATCATATCATTCATTAATCATTAGTTTGAAATTTGTCTAGGAAAATAAAAATGAAAGGGAATTAGGGGCCCTACAAAATATGTTTTTTTTTCTTTCTTAAATATGAATACCTATTGGGGCTGCCTTCTCTCCAGTTCGTGTGATTAGACTGAAGGGTATTGTTGGATCCGTAGGGGCCTACTACGGATCCCGCTTTGATAATCTAAACTGTTTAATGTGTAAAACTCATCGAGTACTATGTCTGTAAAATATCACGTTGATAGGATATCGATAGTTACGTGATCAAATCAACTTTGTATAAAAAAAAATTGACAATGAAAATAAACGGTTGACAGAAACTGATCCGATGAGATAGTTATCGATATCCGATCAACGTGATTTTTTACAGACATATAATATTCGACGAGTTCTACACATTGAACGGTTTTGGATTATCGAGATGAGACCCGTGATGGGCTTCCACGGGTCTAATAGTACTCTTTAGTCCGTGATCGGACTGGAGGGAAGCCTAGCGCATATCTATTTGTTTTCTTCTCATACTCCTAATCCAACTAAAAAGAAAAGCATTCCTTCACTTCATTTTCTTGTTCTTTTCATATATATTTTTTTTATTCACAAAGTGAAAATCCAAACATATCATTAAAAAAAAAAAGGAAGGGTTATAAGTTCTCTTTTTTATCGATTTATGTCGCCTGCTCTCCAATTTGCTTGCTTCCCCTTTGATATCTTTGCTTCCTATTGTAAAAAACGAAAAAAAAAAAAAATTTATTAACAGAGAAATTATGATAGTCAAATCATAGGAGAATTTATATTTTACGCAAACTTGAAAGTGACTATAATGGAGAGACTTCTTTTCATATAATTTTTTAAAAGTTTATTGTCATAGTCAAGTTGGTTGTGTTTATAGTCCTTGGGTTTTATGGACATGCAGATGGAAGTCAAATCATAGGAGAATTTGTATTTGAATAATGTTTGGGATCCCCTTTTGGGAAGACTCTCATTACCCCCACAATAATGTGGACCAATGATGTATTTGTATTATTTATTTTTTTATTTTCTCTTTTTTACTTGGACCAATCACAAGTGAGTGGGGGTTGTGGGGTGATGTTTTGTGGGAGTCTCAATCATTACTGTTTATATTTTACGCAAACTTGAAAGTGACTATAATGGAGAGACTTCTTTTCATATAATTTTTTAAAAGTTTATTGTCATAGTCAAGTTGGTTGTGTTTATAGTCCTTGGGTTTTATGGACATGCAGATGGAATGGGCATTCACAAACTTCCTTTTCATGTTGGTCACGTTTTTCACTAGGGTTGAATAATTCATAGTTATGGGTTTTTCCTAGAGTTTGTTATTCATGGATCAGATTTTTTCGGTTTTACAGTAAATCAGGAATTGAATTGGTCCCTACGGTTTTAAGAAAAATAAAAATTATAATCAAACGGTTAAACTTATATAATTGGATCAAAATTGAACAGTTTGGTTCAACATTTCTAAAAATTTTATATAAAAAGAAATATTACACACACACACATATATATATATATATATATTAGAGTAATAAACATACTAACAATAATTATAATTATTTTAGTTAAGAGTTTATTAATTTTACAATCAGGACTAGTATTCAAATCAAAGTAGTAACTTTTATATTTTAATTTTTACATAAAAAACTATTAAATAAATAAAGAAGGCAAAACTAGAATTGATTCAATTTACCGGTTTGACCAAAAGTAATGTACTGTTTTTTTTAGATAGACAAAAAGTAATAACTTGTCCCTTCTACTTTGCTAGAAGGTCAATGCTTGACTTTCACCACTTGTGGACAGCTATATGAACCTTCTTTCATAAATGTTCAATTAATTAGGGATAATTAGGGGTGTAAATTGGCTCGATTTGGGCCCGCTTTGTTTGGATTCTTGTCAAAATTTGAATCGGGTCAGGTGGGTCCATGAGTTAAAAAATTAGATCTAGGCTTAGGTTCAAGAGATATTCGGACCTTGAACAGACTTGGGTAGGACTGGACAAATTTTTTTTTTTTATCAAAATTTTATTTTATTTTCCACTAAAAATGGCATTGGGCCATGGGCAGACTGGGCTGGGCCTCGGGCCGGACTTTGAGTGGGTCTTGGGCAGACCAATGGACTGGGCTAGGTGGTCCGAACCCACAGGTTGGGTCGAGTTTCAAAATGACGGCTCATGCCCAAACCCAGGGTCCCGAGTTAGGCGCGAACACGTGCCTAATTGGGCTGGGCCCACCTTGAGCCGCAGGCTATTTTTACACTCCTAGGGCTAATTCAATTGCATATTTAGGATGTTAATTTTTATTAAAGACAAATATTAATTATTTTTCCTTTATTATAGTGATTGTATTAAATTGTTTTTTTTTTCCTCTTCTCATTATGAGCTTGATTATAGTAGTTGTTGGACTCTAATTGTTCAATTTAATCTAATTCAGTTTATATTTGTAATTGATCTCCTATTTAAATAAAAAAAAATTAATGTAATTTCTATAATAATTGTATTTTAACTCAATTGAGCAGACCAGAATTAGCATATTTGGTAATAACCAAGTTTATTTGCATTCTATTATTTTAATGATATGAGATTAAGGCGATCTTCATAGATTTGATGGGTGATTAAAATGATAGTCATGTTGGCAAGAAAAGACAACAAATAAAATGGTTAATTATAGGTTTACCTAAATCCAAAGACTCTTTGATTCAATTTTCATACAATTGAGGACCATTTCCTAGTGCTGTGCATTTCAAACACAAAAGTCTATTAATATGACTTGTACTTTTAAGGTTGTCATTATCACATTATTTTAAAATAAAATTTTAGAGTTAATTACACCTTTAACTCTTGTATTTTGATTCAAATTTTATTTTAGAATTTATAATTTAAAATTGATCAATTTAATCTTTACACTTTAAATTTAATTTTAATTTAATCATTTTATTCAAATTTCTATTAATTTTTTATCTACGTGTACGGCATAAGAAATATTCATGCATGCTTAACCTTAAAGATTTCAAATTGTTTGACTTAAATTTAATTATTTTATTCAAATTTCTGTTAATTTTTTTATCTACGTGTACGGCATAAGAAATATTCATGCATGCTTAACCTTAAAGATTTCAAATTGTTTGACCAAAAGTAATGTACTTTTTTCTTAATAGACAAGCAATGTAATGCTTGACTTTCTCCACTTGCGGACAGCGATTTGAACCTTCTTTCATAAATGTTCAATTAATTAGGGCTAATTAAGAGTGTAAATTGGGTTTGGCTCGGCCGGCTCATGTTGAGCCGCTCGGGCTTCTTTTAAAATTTGGGTCGGACTGAGTTGATTTATTGGTCAAAAAATTAGGCCTAGGTCTAGGCCCAGGCCCAAGCTTAGGAGATATTCGGGCTTTGATTAGACCGGTGGATTTGAGTTTGGGCTCAGACTTGGGCTAGGTCTGGACAGGCTTGAATATTTTAAATTTTTTTTTTAAAATTTTTCTACCAAAATTTTGTTCTTTTCCATTAAAAATGACACTAGGTCATGGGCGAATCGGGCCTCGGGCAAGGTTTTGAGTAGACCTTGAGCGAGCCAATGGACTGAGCTTCAAAATGACTGCTTAGGCTCAGGCCTAAGGTCCCGAGCTAGGCTTGGGCCTGGGCCTAATAGGACTGGGCCCACCTTAGGCCGCAAGGGGGTTTCAGCCCGCCCACGAACCGCAAGCCATTTTTACACCCCTAAGACTAATTCAATTTTATATTCTTATTTAGGGTGTCAATTTTTATTAAAGACCAATATTAATTTTTCCTTTATTATAGTGATTGTATTAAGGTATATTTTGGGAAGATGGTAAAAAGTGACTTTTTGACTTTAAATCAAGTTTTTGGCTTTCTTAAACAAATGATTTGGGAAGTTGGTAAAAGTTACTTTTGACTTTTTTTATTAATATTTGTTTATGATGTCAAATCACGAAAAAATGATCAAACCACCCTCATTCAATTTAAAATATTTATAACTTCACCCATGTAGCACATTTTGACCTATGAGGGGTAGAATTATAATTTCACCAATAGCTGAAAATCAACTTCTCAAATGAAAAAAAATACAAAAAAGACAACTTTTAACTTTTGCTACAAACCTAAAAAAGTGGCTAAATTGTTTTTTTTCCTCTTCTCATTATGACCTTTATTATAGTAGTGGTTGGACTCTAATTGTTCAATTTAATCTAACTCATTTTTATATTTGTAATTGATCTCCTATTTAATAATAATAAAATTAATGTAATTTCTATAATAATTGTATTTTATCTCAATTGAGCAGACCAGAATTAGCATATTTGGTAATCGACAATGCTACGTAGCTCAAATTTTGTGGCTCAAAAGTGGCTCAAATGGCCAAAACGACGTCGTTTTGAGTACAGAACAACATAAAAATGGCCAAAACGACGTCGTTTTGGCCATTTGAACCACTTTTGAGCCACAAAATTTAAGCTACGAGACATTTTCCTTTGGTAATAACCAAATTTATTTGCATTCTATTATTTTAATGATATGAGATTGAGGCAATCTTGATAGATTTGATGGGTGATTAAAATGATAGTCATGTTGGCAAGAAAAGACGACAAATAAAATGGTTAATTATAGGTTTCCCTAAATCCAAAGACTCTTTGATTCAATTTTCATACAATTGAGGACCATTTTCTAGTGCTGTGCATTTCATTTATGTGGT